GGAGGCATTGGGAGACTTGCCCAAGATAACACGGCCCATCAGAGTCACCTGACTCAGTCCAGTGTAGATTTTCTTTGCACAGTCTGAGTTCTTCAGGTCCCGAGAGCCTTAGTTGTCAAAGGAAATATGATTAGAATCTCTTCTAAAAGGCTCGTAGTTTTCAAGGTCTATCCATAATCAGGCTGGATTTTATTTATACACAATAAACTCACCCTAGTCTCAAACTTGCACTTTGTGTTCATTTAGGTAGCTTGTTTGTTTCTTTTTTCATTTATTCATTAAGCTATAAACAGTGATAGGCTGGGGTAGGATTATGAAGATATTTTATGTCATGCCTAAGGGTATGAGTTTATTTTTGTAGCTATGGGGATTGGAGGGGTAGGGGCAGAGAGGAAATACACACATACACACACATCAACACTCAAATATTAGATATATGGGGTGGGTCTAGCTGCTGAGGGAAAGGGAAGATAATAGAATTGCTAGTCAAGCTAATCCTTGGGATAAGGAACACTTGAAAGAGGGGACTGATTTAAGAGAATAAATAATGAGTTCAGTTTTAGGTATTTTAGGTTTAGAATGTGTTGACTGAAAAAAAAAAAGCACAACATAAAAGTTGAGAGTTATGTTTTATTCGGGGGACATTCTTAGGACTTCAGACCTGGGAGACAGCATCTCAACACGGAGAGACTGCTCCGAAGAGGGCGGGGGGTGCGAGGGGGAGTTTTTGCAACAAAACCAGGTAGTTGAAATATCAAAAGATTATTGTTAATAAAAGAAAATCAGGTATCTCAAGTTAAGTTTAGCACTTCTCTATGTTTGGGAAGATGCAGGAGTCTGGGTTCACTGAAATCATCCCTGTGCTATGCACCCCAGCTATCTGGGGCCAATTAGCTATCTGGGGCAGTTATCCTATGCTTTCTCATCCTGAGTTTCCTTAGGTGCACCGTTGGGGGTGTCTGCCGGGGCTGATGGCTAGATGGGCTTGGAGTGGGCAGCCCCTTTGCCTCCATCCTGAGTTCCCTCAGGGCCCACAGTCTGGGCAGCTGTAATGTAATGGCTTGATGGCTGCAACATCCTTTGTTTACTGATATGGCAGGCAACATTTTAGTTCTCAAGTGACGTTCAAAAGAGGTGTCCAATAGAAAATTGAACAGAAACATTTTTCATTAGGTTAGACTGTGGTAGGAAGCAACCCTCAAATTTCATTGTTTTACTATAACAAAAGTTTGTTTCTTGCTTAGAATATGTATCAGCTGCTGTAACTTTGCTGGATTCCAGTCAGCTCTGTCCCATGTACTGTTTTCATTCCCAGATCACAGCAAAGATGGCAGCTCTGATTGGGGCCTGTACTATTGATTCCCAGATCACAGCAAAGATGGCAGCTCTGATTGGGGCCTGCCCAGGGCCAACCTTGCAATGACTCTTCCTTTTTGCTCAGATGCATCCAACGTCACACCTGTTTAAGCTGAAGCAAGTCACATGGCCAAAGTCAACATCAGTGGGGTAGAGAAGTGTATGGGAATAAGGAGCATGGCAAGTCATGTGGTACACAAGCCAGGAAGTATGATCTTTCAGGATGAGGAAATAAATAATTTGAGACAATAATAATCTACCACAAGTCTGGAAATAAGCATCATGGTCTATAATAGAGATATAAATTGGAGAATCATCAGAGTACAGGTTGCAGTTGAAGCCACAGGATGGATAAAATGGAAAGTGTTTTAGACGTGAGAGAAGAGAAATGTCAAGGACAAAGCTATTCTCTACACATGCCTCCATATTCACCATTGCACCATTGCTCATAATGTTGCCTTATCCAGAATACCCCATCTGTCACTCCCATATCCACACTCTGTTTATAATAGTTAGTGTGATAGACATTAGTGCAATTTTAAAAAAATTCTTAACAACACCCTGACTTCTTTTTTGGAATGTTACCTTCCCCTACCATACAGTTTTATTAGGTGGGGGAAGTCCAGCTGTTTGCTTTTCCATTACAGAAGCCAAGGGGGTCCCCCAAAGGCTTCTTTGACTGTACCTTTTCTTTTACTGTCCTGTATTGTGAAAGGGTAAGCAGGTTGCATAAACTGAGCCATGTGGATACTTCTGAGTGGAATTTGACTCCTGAGTAAATGCCACAGGGACAAGAGAGAGAGTTGGAGTGCATTCCATCCAGCAGAGAAATCTGTTCTGTTGTACCAACTCCTTATTCCCTCGGCAACAGCTTTGATTTCTACCTGTTTTAAAGTCTGGTATTCCCACTTTCCCAACAAATCTGTCAATATCTCCTAACAAATCTCCTAATATCCTTATGACAAAGCCTCTTTTCCTTAAATTAGAGTTGGTAGTAGGCAATTCAGAGGGGAAGTAAATGGGTTCACTTTATCAGCACCCTTTATCAGGCTTTTATGCACTGTGAGATATTAAAGCATAACAGACATCACTATCCTGAAGGCAAGCTGCCTATTTCTTTGTTTTATGTTCTTTTTAGACTTTGAATTTTAATTTATTTGGCATTTCCTCTTAATATTCTTTTATGCATTAATACACAACTTCTTGACATCTAGAAATTCAGGTGCTTTACAGTGGATGAATCAGGCTCACTCCTCAGCAAATAGGTTTTCCCCATTCCCCATGCCCACTGTAATCCCTCACCCAATCCCCATTGGCATGAAAATTTGAAAGCAATAAATCTTGTGGTTTACATTACACTTCCCTCAGAATACAGGCACCTTCATTGGAATTCTCCCAATATTCCTGCAAGGAAGGAAAACACAGTGTTCTTATTGCCACATGAAAGCAGCAAAAAAAGGCCTAGAGTTTATCTATGGTCTAGAGTATTATCTTTGGTAATGTTTCTTATAATGTTGTCCATGAACCACTAGCATCAGAATTGCTGAGGGTCTTGCTAAAAATCCACATTCTAAGCCCTCCCCAAAACCTATAAGAGCAGAATCCTTGAGAGTAGGGGTAGGGCATTAGCCTGCAGTTGATTTTCATGTGCGTTAAAGTTAACTTATTATCTCCTACGTTTGAACAGAGGATTTGATGTATGTAACTGATGTAAAGAATGAAAATTCCAACAGGACAGGCAATTCAGCTTCTTTCCTCCATCACCTAGAACAGTAGCTGACATTTAGCACACACTCAGTGATTCCTGGTTAAGTAAATGAACAGAAAAGAACATGAAGTCATAGGTTTAAAAATAGGAAGGTCATTTAAAGTAGGACCAAACATTTAAACTTGTGAGACTCCTGGCTCCACTGTTTATTGGTATTTGATCTTGACCTCCCTGTTCTTCAGACTTCTCAAGGAGACTGTAGTGCTACTTCGTTAGTTTGCTGTGAAGAATAAATGAGTGTGGGCTTCCCTGGTGGCGCGGTGGTTAAGAATCCGCCTGCCAATGCAGGGGACACAGGTTTGAGCCCTGGTCGGGGAAGATCCCACATGCCTCGGAGCAACTAAGCCCGTGTGCCACAACTACTGAGCCTGCGCTCTAGAGCCCGAGAGCCACAACTACTGAAGCCCACGCGCCTAGAGCCCGTGATCCACAGCAAGAAAATTCACCGCAATGAGAAGCCCACGCACTACAACAAAGAGTAGTCCCCACTCACCACAGCTAAAGAAAGCTTGCGCGCAGCAATGAAGACCCAACGCAGCAAAAAAAAAAAAAAAGAAATTTATTTTAAAGAAAAGAATAAATGAGTTTAAATATATCGAATGCTTAGAGCAATTCTTGCCTAATACACTCGAAAAATTTAGTTAATTGTAATTTAGCAGTAACTGGCCCAAGGTCAGGCATCCAGTCAGCAGACATCAGAAGGTCCTCTCTTTCCAAAATATCTTTCACCATACTACTTGGTCCTTGAAAGTATGGGCAGAAATTTCCACCAATGCAGTCATTTTTTTCTAAAGCAGACAGGAAAAGTGAACACTTTCTAATGAAGCAAGGACCTGTAACCGAGGACAAACTGGAAATCACAAACTAAGCTCCCTTTTTTCTGTTAGCTAGCTTTCCGCGTTATCCTCAGGCAAAGTTAAGTGTGTCAGAGGGCCTGGCAAGGAGAGATTCTGAAAGCCTACCCAGAGATCCATATATATGTATTTTTAACTTCTGGGGTTAAAGAGGTTGTGTGCGTGCGTGTGTGTGTGTGTGTGTGTGTGTGTGTGTAGGGGTGGGGGGGTGAGGGGTGAGGGAGGTAGGGGAGTAGTGAAAGGGGAAATTTTAAAAACGAACGCAAAATTTTAAATCCTTAAGTTCTTACAGCGGTTTGGTTTTGTTTATTTCCGTTTGATCAAAGGCACTAATACCCCTTTGGGCAACCATGACCAAAACCAAAATGAAGACCGGTGTGACCATTGTCTTACTGGTTCCCGCATTCCGACGAAGAACAACAAACAATACAAAGGCGTTTTCTCAAAAGGGCTCAACTTTCCCAATCAGATGCTTTTGATCTACATTCGATAGTCTTGGTAGGATGGTGAGGGTGGATTCGGAGTGGACACGGAAACTTTTATCAGAAGAACTTGATTAAATCAGACTTTTTTTTTTTTAACTTCAATGTTCCTTCACTCCAAGGAGAGTCCTTGGAAAGAAGACATACACTGTGTTGGGCATTTCGTGGGGCGGTGCGGGTGTGTGTGCAGGGCAAGGTTGTCTCCTGTTGTTTAGAGACAAACGGTCGTGGGCTGGAAACTAGGATAGAACTGAGAAGAGAGAGGGGAGAGACTCAGAAATGAGACCACGGCTGCAGGTCTAGGATCGTAGGTAAGAAGAGGAGGGGCGATCGTGGGGTTGCGGGGGAAGTGAGGCTTTTCGCCTTTGAAAAGCCCGAAAGCCGCGAGAGAGGGAGGGAGGTGCGGACTGGAGGGGGCGGGGACGGTCCCAGGCCCAGGAGGCGGGGCGCGCGGAGGCCACGCCTGCGGCCGTCCAGCTGTCCTGCGCTTTCCAGAGCTCTGCTGGCGTCCGCTGCGAGAACCGGCGGAAGATTCTCCGGATGAATGGCCCACCTCCCGGGGTGGGGTCCCCGGGTCCCCGCGGGGCTCCGAATCTCGCGGTCTCGCCCCACAGCGTGCGGCGTGCCCGGCCGTTTGTGCGCGAGGCGGGGCGCGGGGCTCCCCTGGCCCTGGGCGCGCCGAACCCCTCGGCGGCGGGGGCGAGCAGCAGCCGGGGCGGCGCCCACGAGCATAGCGAGGCCGGAGAGAATGTGGACTGTGACTCCTGGGTCCGAGATAAAGTGCTCTTTCTTCTGCACCCGGAGAGGTGGTTGGGGACTCAAGGGGACTCCGTACGGGAAGAAGTGGCCGATGAGGAGGACCTTTTCAAAGCGGGAGGACAGGACAGGGAACTCGACTGCCCTTCGCCTCTCTTTCCACGGGAAAAGCGAATTTCTGGCAGCCGTGTAGATGCTCCCTCCCGAGCTCCGGGGTACCCACCCAAACCCCTCCTCGTGCGGGTCGTGGATTATGAGGTGACACAAGAAGTCCTGCAGGTCGCGTGGGCGAAGGGCTGCATGACCACGCTGACCGAGGAGCGCTCCATGAGCGCGGTCACTTTCGCCGCTAACACGGAGTGAGACCGGTTGCAGGGCGCCGGGACCCCTGGAGAAACCCGAGCCCTCGGCACAGAGTGAGAGACCCCCGTGTCCACGCCAAGAAGGGAGAGTTTCACGGTCCCTCAGGACCTGACTCCCCGAGGAGATTTAGTGGGGAAGAGGAGCCCGAGGAAAGTTCAGGAGTTGGTGAAGGAGCGCTCATCCTTAAGAAAATGCTCTTTCGGAAACTCCAGCCTGAAATTAACCGACAGCAAGAACCTTTTAAGAGGCTTCAGGGAGGCACACGGCACCCAGTGCAGACTGAAGAACTGTAAGCAACACGATACCTCCTTTATACTGTGGCTTAAATACTCTGACGGTCTGGGGACCTTAGAAGAGGGGAGGAAAGGTATTTTCAAATTGGCAGAACGTGGGAATTTTGAAATAAGAAAATCTGTTGTTAATTTTTATTTTGAGATAACTCTCGGTCGCTTTTCTGCCTCACCGCCCTCCCCTTCTCTTTAAGACCTGAAAGCGGAAGTGAAGTTTGAAGTCTGCTCTCTGCAAAATGGTGGGGGTGGGAATATATGGGGAGAGAGGCTTGCTTTGAAACTGAAAAAGAAAGTAAAAAGTGGGAAAATAAAATGTGAAACAAAACAGCCAGTAAACAAAATCGTTTTTTGTTACTGTCTTCTGGTGTGCACATCCTTTTCTTTCTTTCTTTTTTAATTTTTTTATTACCTTTAAGTGTTAGGAAGAAAAGAGGAGCTAGGAAAAGAAGGGGAGGAAACAGAAGACTGAATTTTGAAGGTGAAATGCTATTTCAAAGGGCTTTACCCCAAGTATCTAATTTAGTTCAGTAAAAATGCTATTAATATGAAATTTTTAGTTATCTTAATGTTTGAAACACTGCAGATAAATCTTCTGCTCCAAAGGTAGATAGAAATATATAGTTTGCCATAAAATGACTGTATATCTTATTCGAAGTTTCTTACTAATAAGATTTGTAGTCGAGACTGGATTGAAAAAAAATCTCTCCTGATACTGTTGAAAAAAAAATTTCTTCTGATGCTATTGAAACAACTCATTTTTATTTTGTTTATTTTTTTTATTAAACACCATCTTTATTAACTCTAGTAGTGGGGCCTGGTTTGGAGGTGTGTTAGGAGCAAAGCACCCCCTCTAGAGATGAACTGATGAACTGAAGGAGTTATCTGGTTACTGCAGGAATTAACAAAACAAATGGGACTCTGGCTTTTGAGGAGTAAACTATTGAACAGGGAGGGGCCCCTCCCTTACTGTTCCTCCTTTGCCCCTTATTTTCAGTTTAGAGCTTGACAGGCCCTCAAATATCATGTGATCTACCTCTTGCCTCTTGGCAGACAAGATAGGTAAGATATGTCCCTATTTTACAGTTGAGCCAACCTAGGCCTAGAAGCCATGTGGCTTATGTAGGACACGAAGCTAGTTACTGCATATGCTTACTAAGTAGGTAAGAATATGATCATCTCCCTCCTAAAAGTTTGGGGATGCCTTTAGGACTTACTTCTAGGGAGTCAAAAGATGAGTGAGGGCAGCCTAGGTTTTCTGACTCAGTCAGTTATGAGAACTACTAATATCACCTTTATGTCCCTGAGTCTGGCCAGGCCTGTGGGCTTGAGATTTACCACTAGCAGTTCTCAGGCCAGTGTGATCCTCACTTAAGAGAGGAATTCAGCACCTGAGCTCATCTGTGCTCAAAACTGCTTGGTAGGTAGGAAAGGTAATACAGACTCCATGAAATGAATGATCTTTTCATCCAACAACCCTGCCTGGCTCCAGTGTGAGGTTAAACTTCTTGGCAGACAAATTTCAGACCTGACTCAATAAGTTTGGTTGTTGTGAGTCAACATATGCCCCATGTGATAGAGCTTTGAATAGAGACAAGAAAAGCCTCTTTAAAGTTGACCAAAAACAGTAGCGGCATTCTGTTGCCTTCCCTATGGAGCCAACTCAGGACTTGAGCTACTTGGGTTCACAACCATTCCACCTCTTACTAACTGTGTGACACTGGGCAAGTGTTTCACCTCTCTGTGCCTCTGGGTCCTTATTTGTTAAATAGGGATAATAAATAGTATCAATCTTATAGGGTTTTTCCTAGGGTTAAGTTAGATGAAAGATATTTAGATCCGTGCTTGGCATATAATAAATGCTCAAAGTGAACAATTATTAGTATTAGTATTATCGTTATTGTTTAGTTCACTTTCATCCTAACCAGGCTTTAGGGCTTTATTTAATAAAAAGCAGCAGAAGGCATACAACACAAGAAATCTTATAGAACCCAAACCAGTGGTTTTTATGGACTTTTTTCTGCATTCTTAAAAGTCTTATTTCTAGTTTTCCCAACATTAATGGATCCGTAAATTTAAATTCCTTAGTAATCTCACACACACACACACACACACACACACACACACAGCTTGTGATAAGATTCATCCTAAGTTTAAGAGGCCTAAGGTACACCATGTTTGACAGTCTTTGAAGGGGTTTCTCAGACTGCTTAGTTCCCCTTGGCCCATAGGAGCTTGGAGTACTTTCTTTAGGACCTGTCAGGTTAGTTTGTTTGCCCTCAGGGATTTTAAATCTGATGCCCTTGTCATCTCAGAAAAGCAGAATAGGCACAATTAATTTTCATTTCATCTCCTTTCTGTCAAAAAAGTATTCAAGTCAGCTGGACTCCTTTAATCCAAATACGTTTGGGTTAATTTTCTTTAAGTAAAAATTATTTTTAAAGCACTTAACCCCCCTGCTAACTGCCTATAATGTGCTTATACGTCTTATATAAACAGATGTCTCCCCGATTCAAAAAGTAATAAGTTGAAGTCTACTGAATTTGCTTCACAGATTTTCCCAATCCAAGCAGAACCCTGCTGTGGGAGGAATCTGAGGAATCTCTTCCCAATTAACAGTGTCCTGGGGGCTTCCCTGGTGGTGCAGTGATTAAGAATCCACCTGCCAATGCAGGGGACATGGGTTCGAGCCCTGGTCCGGGAAGATCCCACATGCTGCGGAGCAACTAAGCCCATGCGCCACAGCTACTGAGCCTGTGCTGTAGAGCCCGCGAGCCACAACTACTGAGCCCGTGTGCCACAACTACTGAAGCCTGCGAGCCTAGACCCCATGCTCCTCAACAAGAGAAGCCACCACAATGAGAAGCCTGTGCACTGCACCGAAGAGTAGCCCCCGCCCACGCACAGCAACGAAGACCCAATGTAGCCTAAATAAATAAATAAATATATTTAAAAAAAAAGAAAAGAAACCAAATGATGTCCTGGGAGTGAATCTGAAGGGAAGCCTGGGCATCCTCACTACCAAGAAGTCTCTGAGAATGACTGGGTCTTGGCTCTTTGGTCTAACCTCCACCTCACCAAAAGTGTGATCATCTACAATTGTCTTATGTGGATGAGTCACAGCAAGGACTTTGGAAGCCAGCTGACCACTCAAGTGACCATAAGACACATATTATAGTCACATAACTGCCATGGATCAAGCAAGTGTCAACCTCTTAACCTTTGTCCACAGCCTCCATCACCTTTGAGAGTCATTACATTTGACTCGCTGATCTTATTCTTGTTGATCATCACCAGCACTTGATGTGCCTTTCTGCTTAAAAACAAGAAAGAAAGAAAAAAGGAGAAAGAGAAAAGGCTTTCTGTTAACAGAAAAAGTTATATTCATTGCAAAAAATTTTGAGGAAATGTTATTTTGTGAGGAAAAAGAAAAATGGAATAAAAGAAAACAAAAACTCACCCATGACCCCAAATCTCTTTTAGTAATTGGTATGTTTCCAGTCTGCTTTTATTTATTTGATGTTTTAATGTGTATATACATACACTTTTCTGATCATAAACTGTATATAACATCTGAGTATTGTCTTTATGTAAACTAACGTATACTGATAGTATTCAAGGTGGGGTCTGTGAACCAGAAGCTTGGGCATTCCAAGAATGGTTTTTTAAGAAATGCAGAATTCCAAGCCCCACTCTAAATCTGTTGAATCGGAATTCACATTTTGACCAGATCCCTGGATGATTCACATTAAAGTTTGAGAAGCATTGACATATATGCTATATTTAGTTCTGTATCCTACTTTGTCACTTACAAAAACTTAAAAGTTTTTCTTTTTCTGTATGGAAAACAATGCCATGGTAATAACACTTTGTAGAATTATGAAAACATTTAGAGATCACAAAAGAGTGAAACATTGATTTGTGAATTGGCAAAGAGATCTCTAAAAAACTTCGCAGTGTTTTTTTAAAGAGCCTTATTATTCTAAAGTTTTCCTAATGAAAGATTGATTGGTTATTGGAGTTCAACCTATTTCAGAAATGTGGTTCTTTTATTGTCTAAGAATGTGAAACAATACTTACTTAAAAATCCCCTTAAGGGAAGAGGGCAGGAAGTCATTAAAGAAAGCCGGATTCCGACACTTGCAGGCTGAGTCAAGACTCACCAGCCACTTGTAATGAATTGCCAGGGGGTGGGGAGAGAGGTAGAGCCTGAATTTGAATCAACTGATTCAGATAAGAAAGCAGGCTGTGACTCTTGAACACCCTGACATCCTTATAACCCTGGTCAGTACTTTGCTCTTTCATTAGGGAGGGCAAATCTTTGTAACTTTTCTTCTGTAGATGAAGATAAGAAACAGTCCAATTTACTTTGGAAAGAATAAGGAATTATAATCATTTATTAGGCACAATGTAGCTAATAGTTAACAAAACATAAGACTTGGTTAGCTTTAAAGCAAGGAATAAATTTAAATTCAAACTCAGATTTCTAAGTGTAAGATAGAATGACTACTTTTAGGAGGCTGCAGGCTTCACAAAAGTAGGACAAACAGAGGCTGTTTATTCAGAGCTTGGTTATAGAAAGGGAGTCAGCCAGCATCACTTGCACTGGGCCAGGGAGCAAAGGCAGGCGGGGCAGTGGGAAAGTTTTACAGTGACCGAAATGATCTTAACTTTATTCTCAGCTCAACTAAACCTTAGGTTTCTTCCTGACTA